CTTTTCTTTCGGTTCGAACCTCCCCCCACGTCCTCCCCCGAGGAGGAGGGAAGGGCCGAGAGCGGCCCCGGGCCCCGCCGAGGCAAAAAGCACCGGGGGCAGCGCTGGTCCGTGATAACACCGCGGGGTTCAGAGGCGGCGGCAGCTCCCGGCACCACGGCCCTTCCTCCTAAACCCGCACTCCTGTAAGATCTGCCACTAAACAAACATTAAAAGTTCTTCAAAAACGCAAACAAATAAAGGCACATCGCCCGTTGAGCCCCGAGAAGGAGCGGGTCGAGCGCCCGGTGCCGCCTCACCGGGGCCCCTCCCAGGGCTGCGGGTCCCGAGCGGAGCCCGCGGGTCCCGCCTCCACACACCGACCCCGGGGCAAAGCTCGGGCGGTGCGGTCCCCCTGTGCCTCCCCCTCCACGGGGCATCGCCGGAGCGGGGCGAGAGGAGATGGAGGAGGGCGCGTCCCGTTCCCCGCACCAGGAGCTGGCGGGAGTCCCTTCCCCAACCGCCCCCGCTCCGTGCGGGATCCCCCAAGGCGCGGCGGGTCCCCCGGGTCAGCTCCGCCACGGCTGCCCCCGGCTAATCCCGGAGCAGCCGAGCCGCTCCAGGTTCGCCGGGCAGCGCCCGCCTGCCCAGCCCCGAGGGGCAGCACTCACCTTGCGCCCTCCTGCTCCTGCTCGGCCCCCGGCATGCGGCTCCCGGAGCTGCCGCCCCGGCCCGGCCCGGCAGAGCCGCCGGCGAGGGCAAGAAAGGGCGGCGGAGGGTGGGCAGGACGCGGGGGTTCCAGGGCTCCCGGGCTGTCAGGGCGGGCGGAGGGAGGGATGTATGTGAGTGTGTGGGTGTGTGTGTGAGTGGGAGTGTTCGCCCGCCTCGCGCCGCCAGCCCCGCCCAGCTCCCCTCCCCTCCCGCTCCGGCTCCTCACTCCCGGCTCCCGGCTACTCTTCCGATGGGCGCCCTGTCCTTCCCCTTCGCTCCGCGTCCCTTCTAAAATGCCCACCCGGGCTCCGGGCTTGGCCACTCTGGCCCCCCTCGTGTCCTACCTGGAGAAGGTGGTGGAAGCCTCGTTGGTGTTCAGAACAGTTCAGAAGTCAGACGGACCAAAAAATGGCCAAGTGCACCAGTTACACGCGAAGTACCTCAAACGAGATTAACAGCAAGCGACCAGGAGTGGGTTCCACTAGGTCAGAAACCTAGAGAAAGTAGTGACAAACACTGGACAGGGGGTAACAGCATGTGTGGTTTGGACGAAAGAAAGAGTATGGAAATAGACTCAAAAGTCCTACTGATCAGGGAAAAAAAATAGCAATGTGAAGGTGGAAGCAAGTACATCATGAGCACTTTATATCAGGGACTATCTAGTATGCATTTGTACCGTGTCTAATAATCTTATTTTCTGTGACCAAAGCCTATATGTACTAGATCAGTGTAATAATAAATACTAACAATGACATAATTTTAAACATATGCAAAGTCAAATGAAATTGTAGGTGGTAGGTCTCTTGCAGTAGTAGCAGGGTAAAGTAGTAGAGGGTAAAGTTTAGAAATACGAATCCTGCCCTGCTTTCCTGATTCACTGTCACTGTTATTCTCACTCCACCCTCAGTAGCTGAGCATTGTCCAACTGTTCTGCAAAGAGATGGTGATTTCCTTCCTAACACCTAAACACACCTTGGCATGTTTGCAAAAGCTACAATAAAGAGCAGACAGTTTCCTTTCTGTTGATGACTCATGACCTTTATGGGTACATCCCCTGTATTAGACATTGCTAAAGACAAGTAAGTCTAATTCTATTCTCACTTTTAATTATTTTGAAATAAGTATGATGTAACTGACAGCAATGAAATCACTCCTGATTTTCATCAAAATTATAAAGGAGTCATTCTTGCAAACCAGGTTCCCATCAAGCAATGCACTTCCAGAGGAGTAGTACCAAGGAGTGCTAAGGGGCTGAAACAGGCCCCTGCAGAGTCTGCCCCAAGGTAACTCACACTTTAGAGGTCTCTGGGGGGTGTTGGAGAGGAAATAAAACACATTGTTTGATGTCTGCCCCAAACCTACCTCTTCCTTCTCTTGCAGTTCTTGCCACCCTCTGTTTCCCACCCAGCTCCATCAGTGGATGACTTGCTGCAGCGGTGCCACAGAACTCTGGGACATCAATCAGTGTCCTGCTGTTCTATCACATAAGTTATTGCAAAATGGCAAAAGCTGCAGTAATAATGTCTCTAACCAAATCCCTTGACTGGCTGCTGAAAGAAGCACCATTATGGCTCAAGACATGAAACTCTGTGTTCTGCCTTCAGCTCCCACCAGCCCCATCTCTGTTCTGAAGTGGATCCATTTCCTATTTCTTATCTAGTTCCTTCCCATTTCTCATGTAACACAAAAACACTTGCTTATGGCCTTTATATGACCTGTTGTGCACTTGTGAGGAAAAAAATTCTGACTTGTGACGCACTAAACAACTGCTCTGATGTGTGTCCCACTCCCATTATTAGTATCTGATTTCATAACCAGACCCACTGACATTGGTTGAATCACCTGAGAAATAAAGCATTACTAAAAAGGGTGTGGCCACAGCATTCTGAAAAGGCTTAGAAAATGTTGCCAAAAAGAACTTTTAAATCATGACTGTAGTTCCACAACTTGTACTATAGGTTATTTTTATAGGGTAGTAGCTACCTGCCCTGAAAATACTCCTGGCACTAGTTTTCTTGATGTAAAATCCTTCTGGGAACCTTTTTTTCTTTAAAGCACAGTTTAGTAATTATGTAAAAAATAAATAAAACAAGTCTGTTCCCCAAGTGTTTCATTCTCCCTTTTGCTATGCAAGGCATCCAATCTTTTGACAAGTTTAATCCTCTATAACTGGGCTAGAAATAAAAATTTCTCAGCCATGAAAAAGCTGACTTCCACTTTTAGTTTTGATCTGTATTTTTACTGTACTGTCAAAAGTAATGAAGTTTACAGTTGGTTTGCAGTTGTTGGGAATAGTCAAAATTCCAATAAAGGGAAGAGTGAAGCCTCCAAAGGTTTATTTACTCTGAAACAGAAAAAAAAACTATTATAACAGTCTCCCAGGCCCTTTGTGTAATCTCAGGTTCCATGTCTATTAGTAAGAAATGCTGTGTTCCCTAGCAAAATTAGATTATGATTATAAATAGCCAAGTATTTCTGGTTGAGTAAAATCTCATCATAAACCTGGCTGGCTACTATAGAAATTCAGAGCAAGTTTTGTGAAAAATTTGATGTTGATTTACAGTCAAAGAGTTAATACAGAATTTGCTCAGGGAGCAGATGTGTTACAGTTTAGAATTATGTGAAACCACAGATGCACAACTTCCCTCGTGGACACAAAATGCCAAATTGATGGGCTATTCTGAAATAAACTTACCTGACTCATATAATCAACAAGCCTCTCTTCAAGTAGATCTTTTTGCACACCAGTAGAGACTAAATAGTTAGAAGTCCAACTAAATCAGCAGCCCAAGAGGACAGCATTCCATACACTCACTCATACTAGTTCAATCTTCCATGTATTGTCAAGGCCTGTGACCTTCCCAGGAGAGTCTGGAAAAAAGTTTGATTTTTACAGCTCCCTGTACATTAAAAATAAAGTCCTTTTATTAAGTGATGAAGAAAATTCTCCAGATATTGATTTCTTCTTCCATGGATTTTTACTATCACAACTATTATGTCTATTCTAAGTTATTACATTTAACTATATATAACTAAAATTTCCTCCCTCCCCAAAATCTTTAATATCTTCACATTTTCAAACTTCCAGCCTCCCACAGTACCTGTGTCCAAGTAAATCAGAAAAACCATTAACTGAGCTTTTAGTGCTGAGGTAGGTTTGGGCAAGCACCAATTCTTGTCATCCAGGTGACATCTGACAGCGAGAAAAGAACATTTCCTTTTCCTCTGCTCTTTATGAACAGGACAATATGACCAATCTCCCCCTTTTTCCACAGACTGCTACAAATTTTAAAACATTATCCACAGTGCAGCTGCCCATAACATCTGAGGTAAATCACACTTTATTAAATCAGTTCTAACAGAGTAAAGAACAAAACTGTATCTCGTGATAAAACATATAAATTGGTCACTGTTCTGGTTTTTGCGAGTCTGAGAAGCGGCAACAGATGACAGCAAGTAAAATAAAATAATTTATAGCTGACAGAGTGAAAAATTCCTTCAGGTGATCTATAGTACAGCCTTTAAGAAATAATCTGAGGCTGACCAGTTACAGTTTGAATGCAGATATTGTGTGCAGTACACAGTTTTCGCTATAACTCCAAGTGTTGGTTGTTGTGTGGTTTGTGGGTTTGTTTTTTTTTTTTATTCCAGGGGTGTATCATTTCAGCATCAAGTCACTATAATATTTAAATGCCAGATTAAAAAAAGCAAAAGGAGAGCTTCCTTCCTTAACTCTTTTGAGATGTATTATCCATATGCACATCCTCATTTCAAAGCATATCCTTCCCCATCCTCAAGGTGTAAGAATTTTGGCCAACAGCTCTCAGAGCTCATGTACAGGGCTCCAAGGCAGAGGATACACAGATTAGGACTGCAGAATATACATATGGATAATGCATGTCAAAGAAGTCCAGTTCAGACACGGAGAAATAACTTACCAAGTCCTCCTTTGAATTAATAACACTACTCACATGCTTAGAATCACAGAATTGTTGAGGCTGGAAATGAACTCTAAGAGGACATAGGAAAAACAATTACATAAAATCACATTAAGGCAGTTTTCTTAAAAAAATAAAATCAAATCAGATCCAGTCTGTCCAATACAGAAGTTTTAGAAAATTTTTTACACTCGCTTAGCTCTAATAAACACCCCCCAAAACAGCTGTTTCCCTTCCAGCTGTAGGGCATGAACAGCAGTTAGCAAGTCTGGTTGGCTGTGTGCTGTGTGTAACTGCACTCAAAGTGTGCAGAACTAAACTACTGCACTTTTAAGCCATTTCTTCTTATACTATTAAGAAAAGTCCAAGGGATGGAACTGAACAAAAATATTTTATTTTTATATTTAACTTCTAAATTATAGTATAATAAAAAATTTATTTCTGCAAAGGTCAGCTGCATCCTATTTTCAACAGATGATGTGTTCGTCTACAGGTACAAATCATGGCAACCACAATACTCATCATTCAAAATGCTGAACACACCACCATATCTTGAGCCTTCAGTTTTCCAATGTTTTTTCCACCCTCCCAGAAAATACATTATAAAACATCCAAACAATATCCACACACTTCAGTCTAGCAGAAATTAAGGGGATCCCTTCACTACAAACATTCTGTTTAGAGTTTACTAAGGCTTGAAAATACTAGTAAGCTAACCTTTAATATGTGTGTTAACATATTTGTCTTTTAAAAAGTAACTTTTACAAGGATTTTTGCTGTTATTCTCATTACAGGAAAAATAAAGAATTCTTGCCAATTCAGTACTATGTCCTTCCAGTATCTCAATATACAAGATATTTTTCTAATTGTTTTAAGAACTGTGGCTTTGTAAAAAAACTATACTAAATCAGATTAAGTATTACTTCTCTCACTTTTGTACATTTTAAGTGTGGGCTGTCCTAATCTATATTTTCAATTAATTATTTCTTCTTAGTACATACAATATACCATTTCCACCTTAAGCTAAGAAGGAATTAAGGAATTTTTCTGGCCCCCCTTCTCTAACACATTTGACTGTCATCTGCATAGACCTTTTATAATTAACAAATGAGATTTGAAGGATTGTACAGCAAATTCTGAAGAAATAAAAATAAAAACATCAGTGACAAGTTATTCTTTGTGCAACTGCCTTCGCCCCTTTTCAAAACTCAGCTTTCTTAGAGCTCAAAATGAAAACTTAATTTCATTTCATAATACCAATTCTGCTACTGAATTTAATGGAACATGGAAATCTTCCCAATCTTTAGTTTAGCATAAAATAACACTAGGTGAGCTGGGACTTCCCATGGCTGAAAGCAGCATTACCTTCACCAGCTAACAAAGAAATGGCAGTTTTGGCACTTCAATGCACAGCAGATCTTCAGCACACAAACTGTGGCACCTTTCTGCCTTGGCTTACCAATCCAAACTCTCCCTCTACTAAAACAACAAGAATTGCACCGAATCAAGATCCTTCATAGCTGGATTTAGTGGAGGAGCATTTACCTCTAAATGATTCTGCCTGGTTTGGCCCAGGAATTTTTCAACTTCAAAGAACGGGAAAACACAGAGAATGTTGCCTTTTATACAGCCCAAGGCACAGCATTAAAAAAAAAAAAAAAAATCATTGAAGGTGCAGATGGTTCACTATGTACGCAAAGCTACCTAAACTTACTTAGATATTGCAAGTTTTGAGGTTTTCCAGTTTGTGTTCTTTGACATTCAGAAAGCAGGAGGAGTAAGGAACGTGACATTAATGGACAAGGCCCTCCAGATCCAACACATATATCTAATTGATCACAGAATTCCATATTACAACTGCAAAGCACGTCCAAGTTCTGACATCGATGGTTATGTTCAAATAATTGTTACAGCACTTTCTTACTTCACCTGTGACAACAATCTCAAGAGGCTTTTATTTGGAAATTCAAATTATTAAATATAAACTGACACAAAAACAACCCCAACCAAATCAAAACAAAAACAACCCATGAAAACAACCCAGGAGCTTTAAAGCTACTCAGTTAGCCAAAATCATCACTTGTTTAATAGTTCTAGCTCACGCTATTAAAATGGATAATACAATGTAACAGTTAGCAATGTCTAATTCTCTTCTATCAAAACTGAGAGAATATTTGAGGTATTGCAGTTCTCCCTTAGTTCTCCCTAAAGTAGCCTCCTGCTAGTGGAATGTGAATATGGGTTAAATGACACAGAATCTGCCTCCATGAGCAAAATTAGCAAAGGCACATTGGTGAGGTGTCCTTTCCTATTTGCTGTTATCATGCTTATTATAATAGTGCCTAGAACTGCAGTTACATAGGTGTGTTTAACTTAGGAGAAGTTGCTCTTGGGAAACAGGAGGGACATTTTGGATGAAGATACACCCACCTGGTCACTGCAGAAAACAGGACATGCATGCTCTGTGCCTGTAAATAAACATGTCCGTTGTAGTTTTTGCTTGTTTTCTTAATATAACACCAGCAACACTTCACTGTCTTAATCACTAAGTAATGATAAGTATTGTGAACTGCAAAGTAACTCACAGGCTTCTGTTTACTGGTTGGCTCAAAACAAAGTATTTCTTCCTGTTAACTGCTTGTCTTTGGCTTGTTTTATCCCAGGTGATTTTGTAGCATCATGTCCTCGAAGGATAAAACGAACCCCCCCATAAAGCATCCTCATCTCATGGCTGAGCAAATCCAGAATGATATCTTCCATATGCAATCTGCTCTTCAAAGTATTCTTTCCATTAGCCTTTCCAGGAAGAAAATAGAAAACTTTGTTTCCATGGTATCACTCAGCATATGGAGGACCTATATTTTTGTCTGTTATAAAAATGATACTTCAGCCTCAGAATGGTGCTATTTGTGAGTCATCACAGCCAGACTGGGGAGGGGAGACAGGAACTTAATGCAGAATAGGAAGACGTGCACTCATCTGAAATTAAATACTGAGACACATTAACATCTGGGAGAAAGAGGAGACTGAGGAAAGGAGCACATACATTTCTAAAAGAAAATTTCCTCCTATGGAGAATTTCTTGATCTCACCTTTGGCATTTTATCTTACTTCTGAAAAAAATCCTGCTTTCATTCACTATAAGACTCCTGCCACCAAGTACATCAGCACTTAAAACTAGAGGCTGGACTACAAAATTTACTAAGACTTAATCTTCCAAGCTATTTTATGTCCAGTTGCAAAATTATTTCTAGCAAAAAATAGTATGATTATGGCATCTGTAAACAGTGTGATATCATGACATTTAAATTATAACAGGAATAATTTTGAAATGTATTCGCTTCTATTTTTCCATGCTGCGTTTTTCAAATCATGAAAGACTTGTTATAAAAAGACCAACAGATTAAAGTTTACTGGCCACAAAAAATGGAATAACAGATCTTCTTCAGGGACTATTCGTTCCTTCAAGTAGGTTTAGTGCTGAGACAGTGTGGTAGTTAAATCACAAACAGAGCTGTTGATAAAGTGGCAATGCATAACAACGTCGTAATGGATTATAAAGGAGCAATTGCCTGCAGTTCATCAGTATGGATGTGGCAATGAAGTTCTGCCTTACATATTCCAGGCACTAAGAACTTTGGAGCAGTGATTACAGGAGGTTCTTCTTCCCCTACAAAAGGAAAAAAAGAAGTGAGATTTGTTAATTGAAACACTGAATTTGGACTTGGTCAACATTTTAGAAACAATGCAAAGAAAACTTATGCAAACCCTCTGGACCATCCTGCCATACATCCCAGAGGCTGAACTACCACACTCAGCAACACCTTATCTAAAGAAACAATACTCATTTTCTCCCCAGGCAGGACATCTTAGGGAAGGCCTTATTAGTGAATGGACCTGGTAAAGCCTTGGTTGTGCTTCCTCAAAATTAAACTGGTTTGAATTTCAGTTGAGGATGCCCAATATGATGATCTCTTTGAGAATCTTTTCTTTTCAGATCAGTAATTTGCACAGGACCTACACTGAAAGATAGGAAGTATTACTAATTATGTGACTATGTAAATAGTATTAAAAATAATGTGACTTATGATTTTAATTTCAAAGATTAAATAAAACTGTCCTTTAAAGAAGAAACATCTACTCTGAGATGCTCAATGACAGAGCTATTGATGTCTGTTCTGACCAAGCAATGGGTAAAAAATAGGTAGCCAGGAGAGAAATGGTAGTGTGAATTCAGAGTAATAACTTGGCCGTGTCCATCTCTTACAACAAAAGCTAAAAAATTCTATTTATTCCTCCCACTATCAGGCATATCAATATTAGGGCTATAAATGTTTTGTATGTCTGGGACAGTAAAGAGATTTAATGGGTTGCACTCTAGTAGGCAGATGATGTTCAGTTCTAGATACTCTCTCTCCTTTGCATCCTGTACCCAATTAGGATCTGGTTTGGGAGAGGGGAGGTTTGAGGGAGAGTCAGTCAAGGGGGTGCTTTTGGATAGGGACAGTAAATGGGAAAAGGGCAGAAATTATTGTGGTTTATTAAGACATTGGAACATCAGTTTTAAGATCCAACTCTCCCAGCCAGAGCTATAATGTTTAACCTCTACAGCTGAAGCATGTTAACAAGTAGGTATGTGACTGGAGAATTAATTACTGCAAAGACTGGCTCTTTCTTCCAGTGCCCCCTTGCAGCTGGGATACCCAGCTGACAGTTCAGTGATTGAATCAGGAGAGGAACACTGGGAAAGCATTCTTACAGAGAGGCCATACATTCTAAACCAGCATCCTACTGTCATCCAACACTAGAACCGTTACAGAGATCACCATCCCACAAATGTCAGAGAAGGCTAAGTTAGAAGACTGTAGGAAATTAAAGAATACAGTATGAGTTTTGAAAACAAGACTATTTGTGGTTTAAGTGATTAGATCAGTAAATCTGTGCATTTTTTTTCCCTTGAAAATTTTTTCGGGTTTTAACTACTTTGTCCTACAGACTATCTATCTTATAAATATACACACTACATCTGTAGATTGAGGTCTACATTCTCTTCCTCCAAGATAATTCTGGCATCAAACATCAGTTATGAATTACCTTATTAATAATAAAAAATTAATTTAGCCAAGAGAAAGGTCTAATAAATTAGCTCACTGTCAAGACTCACTGTAGAAAGCAGAACAGTATCCCACCATCCAAATGCAATATTCACCTGTGGTAGCCACTTAAGGAAAATCTCAGCAAAGAGCACTTTTATCATATGAACACAATTGCTGGAACATTCCACACTGATGTAGTTGTGATGCCAGTTCAATATGCTGTAAGTAAGTAAAGCCAGATCAGCTTTTATATAGCCTGAGGCAAAATTTACACCTTCTAACTGGAGGCTTCTAAGCTGGGTATCTATTTTGGAGAGTGTCTTCCAAGCATCTAAATTCCTCCACTGAAACCCATTTGTCCATTCCCCCAGCCCTGTATCTGATGAGAAGCCTGATGTCATTCTGAAATCTGAGTTGATCACAGTACAGATGATATCCCTCAAGGTTTTAGTATGTGCTGGAGCAGAATAGGGTGTCAGGTTTAGATTTATGGCTGTCTGTGAGAATGCTTCACCATATCACCCTCTTGATTAAACCACACAGCTGTCAGCTGGAATCCCAGCTGCCAAGGAGTCCTTGGAAGAAAGAATTCTCTCCAAGAATAGGTCAATTAATGAGAAGTGATTTATTAATAGAAATTTAGTGAAATCTTACCTTGCTAAGACTCCCCCACACACTATAAGTTAAGAAAAAGATTCATGTTTCTAACGTTACCAAAAGCTGTTTTACCATCTTTATACAATGCTTACCTTCCTCTGCAGCCTCCTATATTGCTCCTCACATATTATCTTACCTATTTTAAGATGGTAGAAATATGCTCACAGTAACTGAATATAATTTTTGAAACTGCTGTATCTTACCTAAACCTGACGACGAAGAAACACTTCCTGTAATGGAAGATGTTTCCATTTGGTCTGTCAATAGTCCTTCCATTAAAGGTAAAGATAATTCAGATGAAGGAACAGACGAATCGTAGATTCCAGAATCTCGAGGCATGTCTTTTGAAGCTTTAACAACGTGTAACAGTGGCTGAAGAACAGAGCTGCCACCACCTTGAATGTCCTGAGTTTCTATATCTTCTCCAAGGTTTAAGTGCTGAATTATACAGTGAGAGTCTGAATTCCCTGCTGAAATAATATTTACATCTGTTTTCAGGTAAAAATCGCCATCCATCACCTGTTTATTCACTAAGTCATTTAAAACCAAGCCTGAATCAAATTTTTCCATGACAGGCTCCGAGTAATGTAAAGAAGGTGGAGGGAAGGGAATAAATTGTTTCTCAAACCAGTCTGGTTCCTGATCAATGAACTGATGCATGTTGCAAATAGCAACATAGAGGGACCTCCCAGATTTGCTCCTGAAGTAATTCCTTTTGCTAATGTTAACGGGAAACACCTCTGAGTCCTGTACACTAAGATCTCTGGAGTGTAAATGTGAATACAGCTGAGGCAGATTGTCCATGAGTTTGTATTTTGTGCTCAGATCCAGAATAGCAGGGATGTCTCCTTCACAGGAGTAATCAAAGTAGACTGCAATGAACTTGCACAGGTCAGCTGAATTCTGCTTTGCTTGACGAAGCTTCTCTGCAACAGTCAACACAGCAAACAGAAAGAGTTCTCCCTTTCCTGCATCTTTGGTTACCCCTCTGTGCTTCCAGTTCTTTTTTTCAACAAAGTATTTCATTCCTTTGGAACATACAATGATGATAAACTGGGACTCATTTATTTTTTTAACAAGCCACTCCTTCTGATCTTCTTTACAATTTTTTAGATCTTCCCACAAATCTAGAGCCACCTGGAAAAGAAAAAAAAAGCATTTTTGTTCATATTAATTTTTAGATTATTAGATATATTTGCTAATAAAAATTAAATTAGTTACACTGAGTCAGCCTGTATTTATCTGACAATTGAGAATTACTGGTAAGTTTAACTACAACTTGTCCTTGATGCTGTTTTACAAGAAAAATAAGTAATAATTAACATAACATTGACAGTGGACAAACTGGAATCAGTCAAATAAATAATGTCAGTAGCTCTTTACCAACATAAGCACAGCCTCAAACTCATCCTAAATTTTGCTTGTGGGCTGAAAATTTCCCTGGGCTCAGGAAGTGGGAAAACTTTTATTTGTTAAAAAATAAAAAAAGAAAGAATGCTAGTTACTGTATGTAACCATTTTGCTGCTCATTTATTACTTAAAGAAAAACATACCTAATTATACCAGTGTTACATACAAATTTATGGAACCAACATGTAACTGCAAAGCCAAGTAGCTGAAAGTAAACCAAAACCTTAAAATATAAAAGCACTATGGACTTGATACACAGCAATCTCTCTTGAGGAATAAAAAGAACATAGAAAATAGGGCTAGATCCACTAAATTACAATTTACTTATGTGATCAAATTAGATCTTATCAATCCACAATAAACAATTGTGCCTGCCACAAACAACTTAAACCATTGTATATCTGGGTCCATAATGTGCTGAATGTAATGGAAACAACAGACAGAATTGTTTAGATTGAAAAAGACCATTAAGATCAAGTCCAAGAATTAACCCAGCACTGTGAAGTCTACCACTAAACCATGCCCCTAAGTGCCACATTCATCTATCACCTTTTGCATGTTAATGTAATCTGATGCCAAGAATTTTCATATCTAGATAGAAACATAATTAGTGCCTATACTATCAAGTCCTCCCACTTAGGAAGCAACAAAGCAGCAGCTTTATCTGATAAGTTCTGAAAATTTTATCCTAAGAGTTATCTTATTTTGTACTTTGACAGATTTTCTGACTGGATGGTCATCGTGGGTTCCTTCCAACTGGACAATTCCGTTCTATCCATGGGGGAGAGAAGTCGTTTTACTGCTCTTGGGAGGTACTCTGAGAAAGGTACAATGCAGGTAGTTTTGTGTATGTTTTTGGTTTTATTCTTCAAAATCTGGTCTGATCTGCTGCCTGTGAGAAAGGATTTTTATTATGGTCATGTTATTATTTTAAATGGCTATTAAATGCCACTGGTTTTGTACTTTATGAGAAAACGCTCCTATTCCATCTGAAAAATACTTGTGTAACTGTTCCATTATGCATTGAGTATTACTTTTTATATTAAACTCCACAGCTTTAATAACAACATGTATTATTTCTGTTTGTAGATGGCATCAATATTTTGTTATATAAATTTTAAATTATGCCTGAGACCAGTTATTCCATGGTTCATAGTTACAGCAGTAACAGCTCACCTTAACACTAGTCCAAAGAGGTGTTAAGCCAGTGTGGCAGGGCTAAAGTACATCTCTTAAAGGGGGATTCAAGCAAGTTATTCAAAAAGCACCTTACTTGAACTATTTTAAACTGATGAACAAATTGTGACCCCACTAGAAACGTGAGGCCTCCGTTGTGTTACTGTGTTTGGGCACCAGAGAGCAGACTTGCTGCAAGCTCATCCCCTTTACAGCCCAGTGGGGGAGGAAAAAATGCAGCCAAAAGAGACTAACGATTGCCCTGCCTTTTTCCATTCGAAAAGTGAAAGACCGGCCACACAGTGATTATATTTTAGAAACTGGTATGAGATTCTAAGCCTAGTCAGTCAAAGTAACAATTTGAATCTCTCACAGCTTTCAATCAAAACCAAGAAAAAGAGTTACTGATTTTACAGCATTAATAGAAGTAAAAAAATAAAAATCAATTAAAATGAATATATAATGTCAACAATTTATCCTAATTACAGTTTTTGCTCTATGAGTAGGAGTTTTGACATATTCAACTACTTTTAAATTACAATCCAATACATATTTTAGGAAAACTTAAGTATATAAGGTAGACAGCAATACCTCTTTGTGGCTGCTGGCTATAAAGATGCAAGACTTACTAAATAGAAAAAGTACTTTACACAAAACAAGCTAAACACGGTTGAACGAAGGTCCTGGAATCCTCATTTCCTAATTTCCCACCATTCTGTTGCCTTTTTTTTTTTTGTTACACTGTATATGATCTGTCCATTTCCCCAATTAAAGAAAATTTATACAGACAATATTTAGCAAAATAACAAAAGTTATCTCTGTGAAAAGGAGAGATTGAAATACCTCATTTTCAAGCACATAGTTTTGGGAGTGCTGTTTCAATTAAGGAAAAGTTGTTTAGAGAAGCAATGCTGAATTTACCTCACAGCCACAAAAGTCCTGAAGAAAATAAGCAAAGCACTGGATGACATTAATGTGCTTCTGGCAATCTTTACTGGAATAGCAGATGAACACTTTTGGCCGGGGATGAAGTCTTTCCACATGGAGACCTGCAGCATATGCTGAAGATTCTGAGCTCTCCTCATCTAGATGGGAATATATATTTTCTAAATTGGAAGAGAGAAGAGAGTTCACACTATAAAGTTTTGTTTTGGCTTTTTAGAACTTTTGTAGGCTCTTTACTAATGCATACAGTAAGGACTCTTTTTCTGAAGATCTGTCTTTCCATCCTGGGAAAGAAAAGTTGCACACAGTCTATTTATCCAGCTTATGAGTTGCTACATGTGGGACACACTTTCAAAGTGAAATGTGAAGTTATTTCTGTAGCACTCAAAAAACTCAACAAAGATTTTACAAATACACTGAGGTTACTTCACCTCTATCCAGCTTCAACAGTCTTCACGTCTCTGTTCAAATATTATAAGCCATAAAGATGTATCATCAAGAGTTTCCTGTCTAACAAAGTCTCTTGTTTTAAAAAAAAAACTAAACCACAACATAAGCCAGGTAAGAAAATTAAACTCCAGGAACACAGATCACTTCAGAATATCATCCAGGATCTCTCTAGTGTATACATACATACAATGTGTTTGGACATTAATTTGACATTAATTTGAATTAAGATATGATTAATTTAAGTCAAAACAGCTATTAGTGTTTCTTTCCTTGCATAGATGCTTTTATGCTGGAGCATAAAAGTCTGGCCTTATGCCAGACTAATTCAATCTAGTTCTACAGCTGATTAAGCTAATTTGGAATAAAGCATGAGAATTTCAAAATACAAATATCCATCTAGGGATTTAATTTAGAACAATTCATCAGGAATAAGTATTCTGGAACAACTCTCTCTGTAGACAAATCCTCAGTGATTTGTCTGGGGTTTTTGTTGGAACTGTGCTAGCTGTGAGCAAAGGGATAGCTACAGAAGACCAGAAGGTAAAAGGATTTAACCCAGCTGGCATATAGCACTTGCACTGTATCTCAGTGCCAAAATTCAGGTGGATAACACAGATATGTGAGGCTTGGAGAAGTAATCTCTTTTTCCATATTCATGAAACCACATGATTCTCTAAATTCTATAATGCTGATGGATTTTTAACATCTCAATGTATCAAGTGCTGCTTGCCAGCTCCTGGATACAGAGGAGAGGGAAGTCAGCAAGGAGGGCTGGAATCTAAGTTAGAAAAACATCTGCAGGCAAATCTTAGAAAGAGTAAATTTAGGAAGATGGCTTAGGATGAAATGTAAAGGCAACTTCCAGTAAAGTGAGCGAATCTGGAATAAGAGATATATGTAATATTCCAGACAGCACTCTGAATTGTATTGGCATCACATGGTTTTACTTCCCTTCTGATTTAAAATAAATAAATATTAGACATTTCTGAGTGAAATAAGAGAATGAATTGGAATGTTTAAAACAAATTACCAGCAAGCACTGATTAAGAATTTGCTACAGGTTTCAACACACAAAAAAGCTGTGGGGAGGAAGGACAGAGAAAAAGAAAAGAAAGCTCTTCAGATAAAGGTATTTCTAGAATTAGCCTACCAATTAAGACTATTTTGGTTGCAAAAGTGTATCTTTAAATGAAACCCTGTACTGAATAACCCCTCCTACCTTGCTGTTTCTTGCGGCACATCACTGTGAAAAGGGTTGCAAATGCTGAAATAACAACTAAAGGGACGGTGATGGCAATGGCTCTGATCGGTCCAGCCCACGGAGAATGCACTTGGGAAAATAAAGCACAATTATTCCTATGCAAATTAGCTGTATTACAATTATCTAATCAAATCTTCACACTGGGAATGCAAAACTGCTGCAGTACACTATTATCAGGTAATTCTCAAATATACAGGAGGATCAAACACCATGTTCTGCTCCAGTTTAAAAAGGTTTTATGCTGGTTGACCCCCCCCCAACAGCATTAGTGTGGCCAACCCAAGTACCAAGAGCTGCTCATCAACTCACACCTCCCCAGAACAACTTTACATCAGGTGTAGTTTTGATAAGACATGCAGTGGTCATTTGGACCCGACAGGGTTTTGTTCCAGGGTGCTGAACCAGCCACTTGGAAAGAACAGTCTTCCTGCAGATATGACCTTAAGCAATGCCCATTAGGATTCAGTCCATTTTGCCCATTGCTTCCATCTGTGGCTTTTTTGTGTCTGCAGCTACATCCTGAAATCCCTGTTTAGCTTCTCAAACACAGGTCTGATCCATTGGCATGCAGAGCATTCACCTGACAGGTTTTCCAGATGGCTTGGTTTGATTTCAGAGTTGAAGGACACAGCCAGGTGATGTGTTTGAGCTGTTCTCACAGTTCCTTTACATTATTTCCACACTGTGATGCAGCATACAATATCAATTGTATGCAATTAAGGATATGATTCTTCATATCCACATATACAACATAAGCCACTTTCCCACAAGGATTTCCAGTGATGTACTGATCTAAACTCCACTAAATACAAATGTGCAGAGATGCACACGTGTATGTACAAGTGTGCATGTCCACTCTCTTTTGATTAGGTCAAAAAATCCCAGCACAATTCCTTCAATAGTCTTGATTATGGCAAACGAAGAACAAATAGAGACACTTCCAACATAATTAAAACTGAATCTAAATTAATAAAGCTAAATATAATATCTTGTTTAAAAGACAGAACTCATACCTGGTTTAAGCGCATAGTGCATTGTTTTCCTTGTTGTATTGGTGTCATCAACCAGCTTGGAAAAGCAAAAGAGGAATTTTATTTATTTTCTGCAATATAACTCTATAAACTATAACTATATATAACTATACAAATAACTACAAAAGCTTTCATGACCAAGTGTGAAGAAACTTATTCAGCAAGTTAAAACTAAAGAGTAGCACAAACTGGTATAATAAAAACTGACCAAACCACAGAATTACAATTCAAAAAATATAAAAATCAAAGTCCAGGAATTATGCAGGTCCACACTTCAATTTAAGGCACAGATGAAACTGCTACACACTCAGGGAAGTGAAGTTATGGAAAGTTCAAGAACCATCTAAAAAATTTATTTGCCCAAGGTACTTCAGTAGGGATGCCTGAAGTCCAATTTTATGAATGTGATTTGAATACTTTAATTTTAGTTAATTTTTCCATTATCATTCTCATTTAGCTGTTGCACAAAAGACAATTTATAAATATTACCTCAATTATATAATCCCCTGGAGATACGTTTTGGAGAACACAACTTGTAGTGTCTGTGTTTTGCTCCTACATTAAAGAAAGAATACTTTGCAAGCCATTCACATACTTTTAAAACCTAACAAACAATACATTCACATTGATTTACAAATATGCAATGCCCCCTTGTATTAACACACCTTAAACCAGTAAAACTGAGTCTCTCCACTCAATTGTACAATCTCTGCCCGTGGGACTAAAATATGATTAATTATTAAAAAAACCCCACCCTTATACGTGAACTCTACATTATGTCCTGAAGCTCCATAGCTTTCAGACATTCAGGATGAAAGGCTGGCCAGTGAGAACAAACTTGCCATTGGATAATAACCAAAGTTAAGGAAGACAACACAGCAAGTTGCAACTCCTATAACAAGACTCAGACACAGGGCTGCACAAACCACAGAGAGCCAAAATTCCACACACAGCCTAACCCAAGAGATACCAGCTCTAGGTGGGTAATCTACTAAGTGGTCAAATCTGGTGCAAAGGTGAAATTAAAAAGTAGGAAATAATACGTATAAAAAAAATAATAAACCAGTTTGAAGTACTAATTAGTTGTAGGGTTTTCAAGAGAGAGAACAGTGTCTCCCCATTTGCTTATATTATCCAGGTCCATATGGAGCCCTCAAGCCTGGTTTTGATTGATGAGTTCTATCACAGAACAATTATTATTTACATAAATAATACCAAATAGTTAAAAAATTTTAAAACTGATACTATTTTATATTAAGTTTGTAAAGCTTCTATAAGAACATCTATAAGAACATGTTAATAGGTTTGGTGCTTTTAAGAGCTGGAAAAGTCGGCCACGTACCTGTTTGCAGGTCTTTTGCTTAAATGGCCCTTCATGCTTGAGTTTGTAGTGAAGAAAGTAATATCTAAACCCGAAGCTGTGAGGTGCATGATCAAAGGACACTTGCATGTTAAAACCCTGCTGGGTAACATTCACATTCCTTGGCTTCCAGTCTGTCAGAGGAGATATTCATGAATTGGAAAATGACTCTTCAGGTACAGTAACTTTTTGTAAGATGAGAATACAAGAAGTGTTACATTTTACTTACAAGGTTTGCAGACAAGGTTTTCTGGCTGTAGCAACAATTCACATGCTACAAATATACAGAAAAATTATTAATTATACAGTATCAATATGCTATGCTATTTAAACAAAAGAAACATGGGCAAAACTAATCCCAGGTCTACACGAGACTTTTCTTCTGGTTGTTGCCTAACACGTATTATACACCACACATTCATCTATGGCATGCAAATTCTTTCCACTTAACACCCCAGACTTTCCTTCTAAGACCATGTCAGTCTGACATTAGCTCAGATGGTTAGAGCATGATGCTAATAATACCAAGGCTGTGGGTCTGATCCCTGACCTCTCATTTAAGAGCTGGGTTTGATGATCCTCATGGGTCCCTTCCAACTCAGAATACATTCTGTGATTCACTCTTAACCCAGACTCATCTCACATCATCGTCTACTACACTCCTTTGATGGGAAAACCAAAAAGCCACGAGGAAGGGACCCCCACTGAAGTGATAATGTGCAATACTGAATCACGTGCAATACTTACGTCTGGTTCGGAAGAAAAATGGGTGATAATTACTTTCATTTTTAATGGAAGGAAAAGGAACAATCTTTACAAAGTAATCTGTTTCAAACTTCAAATTTACAAAGGGCTGGGATTCCATTTCCTACAAAAAAGACAAGATTGCAACATATTTCAAAATCAACTATCATAACTGAAAGTGGTTTTTTTTAAAAACAAGCCAAGAGTTTTGCAATCAAAAGCAGAAATTAATGCACTAAGAATTCTTTATCTACCCCTCCATTCCACTTTGACATGAGGAATCTCAATACAGAGTTGGATGTGGGCACCTTTGCTACAAGGAAAAGGCTGAGAGAACTGGGACTGTTCAGCCTGGAGAAGGGAAGGCTTTGGGGTGACCTAATTGCAGCCTTCCAGTACCTGAAGGGAGCCAACGAGAGAGATGGAGAGATTATTTACAAGGGCCTGGAGTGACAGGACAAGGGGGAATGGCTTCAAACTGAAAGAGAGTAGGTTTAGATTGGATATTAGGAAAAATTCTTCACTGCAATGGTGATGAGGCCCTGGCACAGACTGCCCAGAGAAGTTGTGGCTGCCCCATCCCTGGAAGTGTTGAGGGCCAGGCTGGATGGGGCTCTGAGCTACCTGGGATAGTGGAAGGTTCCCTACCCACAGCAAGGGGGTTGGAATGAGATGAGCTTTAAGGTCCCTCCCAACCCAAACCATTCTATGATGATAAACACTTCTGAGACTACTCACACAACCAAATAACAATGAAATTTTTCTTGAAACAAAGCACTTACTGTTCGCTTAAAACCGGGGCTGAGCTGCTTTGGATCTTTTAAAACCATCTGCTGGCATTGTCTTCCCTCTGATTTTAACTCCTCAAGTATTACTCGAAATCCTTTCAGGTATTCAATCCCTACAAACAGCAGGGCATTTAAAGAAGATCAATATTTCAGAATGCATAATGTGGTATTTTATGTAATTTGAGTATATTTCAGTTGTCTTTAAAAATAAAACTTACCAGTCATATGAAGTGCTTGTATTTAATATCCATTGTTACATGTCACTTCTTCCTGCATATTCTATCTTGCCTATCCAGAATTCAGTCTTTGGCAAAGGCTGCAATTACTACATACTTGTGCAATGCTTAGAGCAGAGGGGCCCACAGCTCAGCTGGGGCTTCCAAATTATCACTGCAATTTAACTTATCATTACCTTCTTCACCCTCAGGAATACTTTATAGTAACTTCACGTTTCCATTGTTAGCAAAGAAATACAACATTTTCCTGGCAAATTATGGAAATAGTCCTTTATAACATTTTCCAATAATTTCTGAGACTACTAGATTAAAGTGATAGTGATTGTTACAACTTCTTTAGTTCTAGTACAGTATGGGATAATAGAAAACTTGACTTAAATGGAATGGAATTTATTCCAGTGTGTGTATACTTCCAGTTATTTGTAACTGATGCCAGAACTACACCCATTTTGTTCAAGTTACTCGAACACAACTCATCTCAGCACAGTGTCTTTACAATGTTCTCATCACAGAATTACTTCATTACATGATTAAACTCAGTCACAGTGATGTGAGTGTCCCAGGATAATGCCAGTGTTACCCTGGGACAGAGTTTTGTGGCTCAGGTATCAAAGGCATTGCATTGCTCTTCAAGACTAACTATTCCATCTAATTACATCTTTTCAACAGCATTACATATGGCAGAACAAAGATTTATCAAAGACACACACACAGCTTTTGTAAGCTAAATGCTACAGAAATAAAAAATGAATTAATTTCAGTTTATGCTATGCTTTCAAACCAAAAAATAAAATCCCCTTTCCCTCTACTACTTACCAATGGCATTTGCTGTCCAAAGTATCATCACAGCAACCTGTTCCTGGCAGGCATACTGACTGATAGTGATGTTCTGCACGTCCCCGATCACGTGTCTGCCCACTGAGTTCAGGTAAGGTGTACAGTCTAAAAATATGGGGGAATAAACACTTTAAGAAAAACATTCTAGCTGACATAAATTTCCTAATATTTCTTCACTACTGAGCAAAGTGCAAGAGCACTGTTTTCTCTAAAATATAAGTACTTTATACTGAATCTAGATGAAGTTTGTGTCTCAAGATACAAAAACCCACAAAACTTTACGAATCCTTGAGCACAGCCACTTTCACCAGTTGCAAAGCTCTAGTTCACAGGATTCCCAAGGAAATCACCAGTTTACACCCCCAGTACAGCCCATACCACATGACACATGTTGGGACTCCCAAAAGAGAGCAACTTTTTCTCGTAATTGTTCAAAAGAATACTGACATTATTTTGTGCATGTACAGTGCTCAGAGCAAGAGAATGTTGGTCAATGATCAGGCACATATGAGAACAACAGACCACATAAAGCTTGAGAACTGGTGCTCAAGAAGTGCTTTTCAAACGAGATATTGCCTGATCCTGACCACAGAGAACCTGCAGCCTAAATCCATCTCCTCTCTGCCATCCATTCAGTAGCCACACCCCTGTAGACCATTTTACTGCCACTGGATCCAGTCAGGACTGCTTTTGTCTTGTTATCATCACAAAATACAGTGTATTCCCTAAAGTTACAGCTCCACAAACATGTGATTGTAGAAAACTTCAGCCTTCATTAAGGAAACAAAACATACGAAAAACATTCCCGACTTTGTTGTTGAACTTGACAAGAAAACAAATAACCCCAAATTTTATTACTTTTAAAGTCTTACAATACTCAGGCTCATATTTTGTGGCAGGAAGAGAAGTGGCAGCCAGGGAATTCAATAGTTCTGGAGCGCACTACACACGAAGGTGTGTGTGCACAAACTAACTTTCTGCTTCTGAACAAGTGAAGCCAACAAAATCCAGAAGAAGTTGACTATATACATTACTGACTGATGATTAATTCTAAAAAAACTGAGATAATCTATATGCTATGTTTTGTCTGTGCAGAGCTTGTAGAAAAGAAATATGAAAAATCAAGTGCTATGATACGCCAGTACAGGAAATTTGAATTTAATTCAGAGGTGTGATCTTAAAGGCAAGGAAAGAAAAATTATTAACTGTAAAGGAGACTTAGAAAATGGCTTTTTACTATGAATAACCACAGCAAGGGGTCTTTTATATAACTGTCCCAGACACAAGAATAGAACAGTTTGTACAACACTGCCTGTGACAAAAGCTGGGCAGTTGGTACTTCCACTGCTGTTTGCAGAATTCTGTTGCTATGAGTGAACTCAGTGACAGCATGAACTTCCTGTTAGGAGGAGAGAGGATCTCTTTCAATGGAAAGTTTGAAGTAACTGGGTTTTTCTATGTCTGGATCTAATTAATAGCAAGCCCAAGATTTTGGATCCCGGTTACTAGAATTTTATGGTCAAATGACAATTTGCCAAAATGGAATATAGCACAAATGTCTGAAGTTTAACTGCAAGTCACTGATTCCCATTTTTAAAGAACAACAGATTTAGGAAGAAAATAGCATGGAAAAAAAATCACACTTTCCAGGAACCCACTTCTTTTACTTGAATACAAGTGACATACTAAAAAATACAAACATTTGTGTTTCACCTGAATAAATAGTCTAACCAATCACTTTAAAAACATAAACCACACTTTGCTAGAGTTGCAGTGTGGCAAAATAAAAGCCTTTAAAAAATCACAGCCAGCAAGCCAAATTCTCTTTTGTGCTGGCCTGGCTTATTCACAGTAAGTATGTATTTCCATATCATGTTAGCTCTTTAGTCTTCATATCTGCAAACTCTTTTCCTAGTACTGCAGAACTCAAGTAACTTCTTTGTCCAGGAAGCATTCAGTGCCAGGAGAGTTTTGAGTTAATACTTCTCTTTGGTTAAACACAGTTTCTGGTGCCAGAATTAATGGAAAAAACACGACCCATACTGGGAATTAAACAGACTCATTGTGTTAACTAAATGTGGGGATCTCTGTTCTGACTGGTATTATTTCCTGTTTTTCTTTACACAATTAAAAATAAAAATACCTCTTTTGTAGTGACCACCTAACCCCTGTACAATCTGACATAGTTGCTCATTTTAAATACTAAGATCAAATTAGATTAAAAAATAATTCACAGTGAAGGATTGCAAATTCAGAAATGGACATAAAATAGAGGAACAAAAGGATGATCAGAATGAAACAAATCCCTATTGTTAGGTTACCTGATGTATGTTCTTAATGATGAAATTTCACCTACACTCAGCATCTGAAGCAATTTCTTTGGGTAAGTAGAAAAAAACAATCTGTGACTTGTACTGGCATTAAAACAAACATTACTGCTGTAAATTTAGACCTTGAATGTAAATTAATATTGATGATGGCCATTAACTGCCCAAATAAGGATAAATTCCTAACGCAGTCAATAGTCCCTACTTAGATGAAGACAACAAAAATGACAAAAACCTTTGAAAAAAACCTCAACAATAAGATACAGTCATTCAGCAGATGTTGGAAGAGGTCTGAAGTATTATTGCTGCAACCTGCTTATCACTGTTATTATGCCAGAGATTACTTTGTTCTTAGTTTAGCTGCAAAACAGAGCACATCTGCTACAGCTCTAAACCCATCTGTCTCCACTAAAAACACCCCCAGCAGTTTTCCACTGGCCTGCTCCTTTAAGATTGTAGCTCAAGGAAAGTTCCAACGGCTTCGACTGGATGGAGAGATGCCATTCAACATCCTTCAATATTCATATTCAATATTAACCCTTGCAAAGACACATTTTTATATGTTATATTACCTGTATGCAAATAAAATCTACACATTTTCTACCTCAAGACACACGTCATGCCATTTTCACCTAAAATTACATACCAGAGAAAAGATGTACAAAGCTCAAAATAATCCTTTCCTATGAGTTTGTGTGTACTAAACCTTTCAGTGACTATATTCTTTCACAGAATAAAATAATTTTCTATAATTTTCCAGTCAAATACTGAGCAGATGACGTAGGCCAATCTGAAAGTGGAACTACTACAAATTCTTAGACAGCTTTATTATCAGTGAAACACAAGAAGGAGAAGATCTATCAGACCTGGCAGACACAGACCTAGATGTTACAGATATGTCAATACTGAAGAGCTTATGCTATTCTTAGAGCCATTGCTAAAAGACATGTTGCTATATATTGACAACTGTGATGGAGTTCCTTGATTTTTGTGAATACAGTGCAGATTTTCAACTTACTGTCATATTTAAAGGTGATATTGAGTAGTCCATTGTTCTTTGTCACTGATGACAGGCCCTGTAGAGAAACACCAAGAAAATAATATGAATAAAGCAAGCTACCTAGAACTTACGTAGATTTTTATTTCGTAAGCAGGAGGATGATAGAACCTCATGAATTTTTAATGTTAAATAAGAATAAATGAAACAGTGGATTTGTAACTGCAATAATTCAGATAATTATATTCCAGAACTTTTCCAATAGGAGTGCACATTGTAGAAATCCATTATGCTACCTCAGACACCCTTTTCTATTATCAAATACTATTAAAGCAGATCCTGCCATCCTCGCTGAGTGTCACAAACTGAAGACCAACTGGAGAACTGCTCTTCCAGGGAAGAATCCAGACACATCCACAGGCTGATGAATCTGCTGCCTCTTCCATCCTTTCCAAAAGGACTTTGGACTTCAGAGATGCAATATCTTACCCTTCAAAAAAGCACTGAAATTGTTTTTGAAACACAAAATGTAGCATCACTCTCACCCCAAACCAGACACAAAGTTGAAAACTGGAATGCTGATTCCTGTGAAGGAGCATCATTCCATGAAAGGCAAATCACACCCTCTTTACCATTAGCTTTAAAAAAATACCACCCATTTACATGGAATTGTATCTGGGTTCACTGTTACAATGTGAACAGCAAAAATCGATAGTCTAGAAGGACTGCAGCAGTAATTACATGTCAGGATCATGCCCAAGCACTCCCTGGGTGCCACTTCATAGTCAGAATCAGTGAGGTACTAAGAAAAACAAGGTATGAGGTGTTACCTTGAAAGAAAAAAAGTAAAACAATACCTAAAGAATGAAAACAACTCAGATCTTGATAGTATTGTTAGAAGTTAAAGTTGTAATCTCACTTTCTTCTTAGGTGGCTTTTCATCTGTTTAACTCTGATTTAGTTTGGCACTGAACCAGCTGTTGTACAAAAAGGCTTCCTGAAACAGGAAGGCGTCTTTTTTTTTTTTTAACTTTTTTATTAATACCTGTTCTATTCTGACTCATTTTCTGTTTCTCTAAACTTTATGAGATGTCATTTAACACACTACTACATCAAAACAAAGACATGACTATTTCATTAAAAAATTACAAAAAAGTAACTTTCATATTAATAAAGGCAGATAAACCACCACATTTTTACTTGTCCCCCTTTTGTCCTACAGTTGAAGTTTTGAGAGACATAAATTTTACCAAACCCCACAGAAAAATGGCACAAGTATTTCAATTCATTAGATGGGGTTTTTTATACCCTCTGTTAAAAAAAAAGGCAACGCTTTTCACCACACCTTTAATTACATTTCTACTGGGATTATGGTGACATCACAAACTACACAACAGTAGAAGTATAAATCAATACAGCACAGTCATTAATAATGTAGATGCAAAAAGCAGATATAACATAAGCCAAACTCTGCTAACTTAAGGAGCACATAAGACTTATTGGTTGTAAAAACTGGCTCCCAGGTGTATAAAAGGCACAAAAAGGCTGCAGTAAGAAGCGAGAGAATTAGGGTTGCCTTAAAGTGTTGAACCAGACAGTTGTCATAGCAGTTATAAGTTAAAACATGTAAACTACCAGACAATTTCACCATGCTAAACTTTAGTATTAATCCTCCAAGTACTTACTGCTGTGAGTTTAAAAAAATACATTCTTCCAGGAAGCATTCCCTTGTTTTAAATGGCTTATAGCTAAGAGAACTTGTTTAGAGCTTCTTACTTTAAATCCATAAACACAACGTTATGGCCTCAGGGCTCTACATTCTCAGTTAATTGTCCCTGCCCATGACAAGGGGGTTGGAAGGAGATGATCTTGAAGGTTCCTTCCAATCCAAACCATTCTATGATTCTATCATTAATTAACCACTAACATTTGTTGAATTTACATGAAGCTTTTAATTTATTCTGAACTTTACTGGAAAGCAGGCCTCCATTACCTGCAGCTTTGTCTACAAAATCCCTGTGGTCCACATACTTCTACACACATGGACAGAGAAGGAATACATAGGAAAGGAAACAGTCAAAACATCTTTTAGGAAGAGCTCCAGACCACTGATCTTTAAACAGATAATCAACGTTAAAATGCACACAGATTAAATTACAAATAACCTTATTTGTCAAAAAGTGGGGGGGATGGGGGAGAAGCATTATCCACATTAAATCTCACATTATGCGAGCTCAAAGCACAGAACTCCACAGAAAACACAATAAGCTAAGATCCAAATCCTGTATCTATGTTGGGCAAGCAAGCCAGAAAGAATTTCCATCACATATCACACACCTCAAATCACAGAGATCAGTGCTGGATCTGCTCCTCCACCCACATCCACAGCCTGAATAGTTCAGGTTAAGATCCCAAGATATCTTAAATCAGCACAGATCCCAGTAACACTAAAACACATTATCTCCTGAAGAATGAGTAACTCATTTAGACATTCAAGACATGTGCAGGCATTGCATTTTATTTAAACATCCATCTTTCAACATGAAAGAGCACAAGTATTAATAAAAGGCAAAGACTATTACATGAAGTCAACCTCTAATTTTGTTTGTTTATATTTTTCTAATACCCAGCCCTCACTTACGGTAACAGCTCACTAATGAAAAGCACTTATGACAACTCTTTCTCCCCATCACTAGGCCAGAGAGGAACAAAGTTAGGATTACATTTCCAGAAATAGAACTTAAAGCAAATTTTTAACCACAGGAACTAATTGTGCCTCCAAGAAAAGTTAAATTTAACTAATGTCTGCCATCAAAGCCATAAATTAAATACAATGGAATGAAATAATAAATCTGCTTGATTTTTACTGCAGTTTCCCCTCTTCCTTTTAACCTAGAACACACACTTTTTATACCTCACGATTCCTGCCAGAGACAGCACTGGTGATAGAAATGGATGGGTGATTTCACAATTGTTCTATGAATTACTGTTTCCACAAATAATACTGAAATATCCTCCAACATTCAAATTCTGTTGAGCAAACACTCTTTCATTCAAGAAAGGCAATTTATGTGTGTGAAGAGGCACTGTCAGGCAACCACTTGAACATCACTCCCAGGAACAGAGAGAGATGCACTAATTACAGAGATCTGGTAGAGGAGGTAGGAAATCACTCCCCCTCAAGCACAGCCTTGTGCACCAGACCAAAACAGTAATCATGATTCATCTTTCATATGTTGCTAATCAACACACACATGGTCCTAATTTCACACTCCCAGGAGGCAAACTGAAGGGACAATTGTTTTTGAACTCTAACATCAAGATGAATAATCAATGTTTATCATACTCATTGCTCATTAAACCAAAAGCTTTATATTCGACATCTACTCTTTTTGTTTTACAGCTTTATTGATGCTTTCAATCAAGTTAAAATATTCTATATTTCTAGAGCCATCAGTAAAAAGATTAATTATCTGTATTATTTATATGCCTGCATTTTAAATTTCTTCCAAGAGAATATAACAAAATACATTACCCATGTTGATGTTTGCTACACAACTTGTATGTACTCCATGGACTGCAGAATGAATTCTAAACCCTGAGTGAGTGGGTTTGTACTGTTATTACTATATTCTTGGTGTCATTGATTAGTGCAACCATGAATTTTGTTCAGATTTGCCTTTCATATAAATAAATGTAGAAAGATAGATATATATATGTTCCTGCATTGCATGCACAAATTCCGCTTCTATAAGAGTTGTCCTGACCTTTTATGATCATTAAATATCTCATTTTTCGCAAAATGATGACATTATTCATGTTTTTAATGGTTGACTTCCCACATGGGTAATTACATTTTGTCTGAACAATTCTTCTGCCATTTCAACCAGACAGGGTTTTCTCGAGTTCCTCCCATCATGAAAGGATATTGAATGGAACAGCTGCTGCCTTAAATCCCACCAGAGGAGGAGGTGGTCCTGAAAGGGGTGCATGTATACCAGTTTCAGGGGGGTCTTTTGGCATTTTTGAGGTGAAGATCACGAACTGCAGTGTATCCCATCTGAACAAAAAAAACCCCACAACCCAACCCAAAAGCAAACCGGTAGAAATGCCTTTTTATTATGCCCCCTTCCTGGCTATTTTAGTTTCTATTTAAATTAGTCCATCTGACAGAGTAGTAAGAAATCACTGTAAAGAGAAATACTACAAGGAGCATTTCCAGCACAACTCCTCAGATGCAACAGGACTCCAGGCAGCTGCTCAGTGAAACTCTGGGACCTGGGTTACTTTAAGGAACAGACAGTTCTTAGAGGCACAACTTAACAACAATGGAAGCAAGTTTAATCCATACTGTTTGCTGCCTACCGTGAAAATCTTAAATCTCTGGGTCTAACTCAGGAATTCAATGCAGCAAAGCCTGGCAAAGAAGGGGCAGCACCAGCTCCAATTTCCCTTCTGCAGTTTGCAAGTTTGCCTGAGAAGTTTTCCATTGTTTGCATTGTCACAGTTAGTTCTTTCCAACTTTCTTGTGCAAATAATGTTTGGCAAATTACAAGCCTTCTAAAAACAAAGAAAAAGCCCCCCAAAGTTACCAGAAGAAATATTTTCAAACAAAGCCCACTTCCCACAAGCACTAGGAAATGTGCTAGTCTAAGGATATTTGGACCAAAGCCAAAAGTCTCTAGTTAAAGTAGTGTTCTCTTAACTGTGGGATATGACCCCTGGCAGGGGAGTTGGAAGAAAAGACGAGGTGTTTGGGAAGGGAGGGGGAGCAAAAGCAGTGCCAAGACAGGTGCAGGAATGGTGATTGTGACTGGGAAGGAAGGGGGCTGCAAATGTCAAAGTTTCTTTCAGAGGGACCCAAGACAAACTAGTTTGAGAAAGACTGACTTGTGCTGTAAACAACAAACAGAATAACATATATCTGAAATAATGCAGGAAGAGAAGTTAATGAAAACTCTTCTGCATATTAACTGCTTAACATAGTGCACAGCACACCATAAAATCAACAAGCTCACTATTTAACTCAAATTAAAGAATATATTTCTTTTTATGGTGTGAAGTTATCCACAATCTCAG